AGCTAGAAACAAATGTTTTACTTAAGCTGATTACTTGGGTTTATTCTGTCTGCCTAAACACAGATCTTTATTTGGTCTGATGAAGTTCCTCCTCCCCCCAAATCCCTGACATACACAAGTTAGAATTTAGAAGCTCTGATACCTCATAATCCCCTCCTAGACTCTTGTTAGAGTTGCTGTTACTTAAAGGGTCAGCTCCACCTTTATTTTCAAATATCATCATCCTGGTTTTGATGTCTGCCTTGAGTTAAAAAGTTTTCCAGATGAAGTGTGGCAGAGACAGGAATTATGCTTTTGCCTTTTCAGAGCTTCAGTCTACATTTTGAGCAAATAAAAATATTTTTAAAAAAAACTTAATTATCATGTATATAGATGATATTGGGGAAAATTATAAACATGCATTTGACATGAAATAATAAATAATTAAAATCTGATTTAAAAAATCTGGCAAACTAAAACTTTGTGTATATATCAGCTATGTGAAAAATACTCTATGTATTCACTTGCTGTATCAACAAAGCGAGGTGGAAGTTAGTACCACATGGAAAACTTTCAAATACGGGTTTTTCTCAAAAAAAACTCAAAAACCTCCACAAACTAGCAAAGAACAATTATAAATTATTTTCTGCTGTACATGGTTTTGAAAGCATGAACTCTCCTTCTACAGGAGAAGCCACTTTTTCCACCAATTTTAGTTCTGGGATTCATCAGTGTAGGTTTTCTATGAAGTTCCTTTAGGCAAGATTTCAAGCGACATCAAGTAAGGCAAGTAATTTTTAAAAAGGAATGAGGTGAAGTTGTAATTGGCTGAGGGTTTTTTAATTTCTCATTATTTGAGGTTTCTCTTTTAATTGTATTCTTTAAGATGTTCTCAGAAAGAAATTTAATCTTGTTTTTTTTTTATTTTAAAAGCATTCTCTCAGGAAAGTAGGAAAAAAACCAAATCAACAACATGGGCCTCCACTGAGAGAATTAACAGAAGTAAATTTTTCTGGAGTAGCCAAACTGATTTCCTTTCCTACTCCTACATTGCATTCAGTTTTCTGAAAACCTAAGGAAGGTGGTGGAACCCCTGTGTTCCAGTCTGTCAGATTTACTGATCAAATATTGAGGTGTAGACTCTCACTTGCCCACTGAAGCACATTTGAAACTTCTGTTGTTTCTTCAACAGTCTGAGAAACAGAAGGCACTTCAGTCTTCCCTGAAACATTTCCATTTGCCTGCTATAGAAGGAATAGAAATGAGGAAAAGCCTGGCTATGCAGTGAGAGAGACCCAGTCATGCTTCTTTGTTGGAGATCTAACAAGAACAGCAGTGCCTGATTTTGTCTTGGTCTGACAATTTGTAGGAAAACCCCACAAGGTTTGAGGGCTGGTTTCCTACCATTTTGATATTATGTTCCTGAAGGGGGTCAATATTTAATTAAAGCATTGTTCTGGCAGAGCACAGAGAGTGTTCTGCATTGAACTTCCTAAGTACTTGTTCCTTTTAGAACCTGGTGGAGGAGGAGGTTGGTTAAAAATAACATGAAAGGATTCTTTGAGTTCAAGTATTAAGAATGGAATGTTATCTACAGAATTTAAGTTTTCAAATTGTATTACAAATGACAGCTAACTGCTGTATTTTTTTTCTTTGATTTAAGGGTTTGGGTTTTTTTTCAGTTAGCCCTGGAAATTATTCCCCTCCTGTGTTCAGTAACTTCCACCTCACGTTTTACTGAGAATGTGCAAATTGTTCAAATATATGAGATGCTTGATTTTCATGCAGTTTCTGTAACTGCTGAATATTTTTATGTAACTGTAATTCAAAGCTAAACCAACTTTTTAGCTGATTGAAAAGCAAGTAAAAGTCATAGTTTGCTTCAAGCCATTGATCTTAACATTAATCAAAAGTCTTAACAGGACTGATACTGCAGCCAGTTGCTTAAAAGAGCAGTAAAAGCACATAGCTGATCATGCGTGAGAAATCTGGCACATGGATCATCAGCAACAATTTAACAGAATATTTCCTATTATGAAATAAGGTAAGAGTTAAAAGGCAACATCCTTATCTTGCTAGGAAAGAATCTTTATTCCAAATTGATACCACTGATTTTAAAATTCCTGAGATCTAAAAACTTGCATTAAATAATTTGCAATACTTAAATTTGGTGATGTGTTGGAGAACATTTTATTATTTAGAAAACCAAAGTCTGTGCAAGTCATACTTGGCTGGGGGTTAAAAATCTTCTGCCTACCAAGTGTGCATGCAAGACAGGTTTGGCAAATAACTTTTTTGAAGGTTTTAATAGTTATAAAAGTTACTCTGCTCATAATGGGGAAGTGATCATCATTTTTTTCCATAACCAAACCCTGAGCTCTGGTGCTGCTGTTCAAAAACCCAGCCATGAGCAGGAGGCAAAAGGGCATTTTGTGTGAGAGGTACTGCTGTGGGGAGCACCACGGAAAGTGGGGCACTGGGAGGAGCACATCACATCCAAGTCACTTAGCCAAACCTTAGGCATCAATTTGAGATTTGTGCTCTAGATCCAGACTAACTATTTATTCTAACCAATTAAGACATACAATGCAGTAAAATACAGGTTAACATCAAGATCTTGTAAGAGTAAAAATTAAGCCTGTTATGTTCTCAGCTCTCCTTCTGAGACTCCACAGGGTTGTGCGTTTGTGAAAATAATTATTCCTCTCACTCATTTGAGCTCTTCCAGTAAGTTGGCTTTTTGCTGTGTTTTTGATAGTTTTTGTAAGAAGAGGCATCTCAACACTTGTAGGGTTCTGTTGTGACTGGATTAGATCCTAATCCTTGGTCAGGTCAACTTTGGACAACTTCGAGCATGCCCGAATTCTACACTGAAGCTTTTCTGTGTGGAGCTCATGAGACTCAAGTTCTTTATGAATCCTTTTGACATCTACTGCTTAAAAGCACTTGTCTAACTTATGTTTGTCTTCATGTTTAGAAGATGGTGTTATTATCACATACTATACTGAGGATCAATGTGACATTTGTAAGGAGATTCTTGAAAATGTGAAAATAGTCACAGGGTAAATGTGGTGCAGCCTGTGGGAGTATTTGATTTTGATTCAAATTTGACTATCCAAGTTAAATATTGTGCACCTGCATCATGTACCATTGCTCAATTTATGTCATTTCTTCATAGCAAACTTTCAGAATCTCAATAGCAAGAATGGAAAAACATTCCAACCTTGGCAAGAATTTGTATAGAATTTTGCACTTTCTTCAATTTGCACTTGAACAAGGCTCTGCGGGGAAACCTCTACTGCTGCTACTTGCACTAGGTGTGCCAAAGGAAGAGCACATTTCTCTTACTAGGACTGAACAAATACATGAGCCGAGTTTTAGTGGAGGAAGTGCTTTACACCAGTAGAGTGAAAACACTGTAACAAAGGGAAACAGGAGAACACAATGGTACAGCTAACTGCTCCTTGTCGTTTTATTGAAACTCCTACTGCATGGATGCTGCTTTCCCCCAGTTCCAAGCAAAAAGTGTTCTCCTGAACACAGTATCTCAAAGAGCAGTGAAGGTATGTAAAACCACAGTGACTGGCTGAAGTTTCCTGCTCTGTTACATTTCAGTGAATCATCTCCCCACATCTGTATGCTTTCATGTTAGCAGCTCATACTGATAGAACGGAGAACTTCAACAATAAGGCAATAGAGTATTTGTCTCAATACTTACCATAGGGATTTTTTATAGACAGACAGATATGTGAAAGGTATGATGCTACACTTACTTAGAAAATGAAATTAAGGACTGCAGGTCTATAGGCAGGCAACACAGTGCAACAGCAACCTCCTAGTTCTTACCTTTGGAACACTGAGCAAAAGGTGCCATGAGCTTATCCAGGGTTTTTTCCAGAGAGCAAGATGGTGAGTTGCTTAGTGCTGATATATTTGGAGTTGAGCATAATGAGTAGCATTAAAAGTGATGGTCTAAAAATAGGTAACTAAGTGGATCCAAGGGAGCTTACTCTCCACTGTTGTTAATTTCTTACAAAAAAAAAAAAAAGGACAAATCCTACTACCCACATTTGATGGATTGTTCTGACTCAGATCTCCCGTACCTAGCACTATACAGGAGGTCAAAACTCATATTATCAAAACTATATTCTTGATGGAGATATATTTATTGTATTTGTTGCTTCCCATAATCAGTTTCTGGAAGCCTCAAATCACAGATGCTGAAGTTTAAGTATTTTGACTAAAAAATATAAAATTCCATCGAACTGTGTTCTTAATGATTTCAAAAGTGTTATTGCCACTGTTTGCTTCCCTCATTAATACACCAGGTAGGTGATTATTCATACACTAGGAAAAAGATGAAGTCAGAATTTTTTCTAAGTTTTAACCTGGAAAAAAAGGGCTACCAGAATAACATCTTGTGTATTATCACATTCTGTGTATCTGAGGCTGTCCAACTGTTATAATGAGAATGGCAATTTCATGTTCAACAGATCATTTTCGCTATAAAATTGCAAATCTGAAGTGAAGAACCACATTGGAATTTTTCTTCATGTTGTTATACTTTCAGGTGGATCTTACTCTGTTTGGCACATACAGTACTTCAAGGATATTGATTTCATAACAAGTTCCTCGCTGTTAAACCTCTGGAGACAATTTACACTTCTCTGGCTGTTGGATGAATAGGCAAACTTGAGTTTTCCCACCTGCTTTATAGTTAAAATACACCCAAACTTTAAACTACAAACTGGCAAGTATAGTTCCTACCCTCATTCTTCCAGCTAAAATTCCATACTCAGATTATCTGTGTTCTGCTCACTTTTAATTATTTTTTAATGTAGTAGGAAAAATATTTTTATTAAAAACTGTATCTACAGTAGAGATCTTAAGTTCCCTCCAGGTAAGTTATTAGTATCCTGTTTCTTACTAAAATAATTTTTTTCCATATGGAATAGAGTGTGATATGGGCAATTCAAGCTTCTAGATGATTGCCCTAATAGTAAAGAAGAGGCTGAAAAAAGAAAACCCACACACATTCCTTGTGTGCTGCTGGACTACGATTTGTGGCAGGGACATACCCTGCCAACACGGATGTGAGTAGCTGCTGTTGTTCCCCTGATGCTGGATATTGCAATTCTTTTCCTACTGGTTTTGTATTTTTCCAGCTGAAGGAAAAAAGTCTTTTAAAGTTACTGCATATTTCTACAACTGTTTCATTTTGACTCAGACCATATGAAGCACTTACATAGAAGAAGTCTACGGGGAGATAACTACACTAGTTTTCAGTGATGAGGTTTATCTGTACTTTAACAGTTAAACCCACTATGTTAATAAAACAAAACTTCTGAAAAATAATCCTGCTCAGTTTCAGTATTTTCCCCATTCCTCATATTTTAGAAGAAGACATATAAGAATTGTAAAGCACAGCTACATCTTGAATAAAGTAGGGAGCTAATTCCCAGTTTATAAACAGATCTGGCAGTTCTCTACATGCTGGCTGCACTGCAAGGGTGAGACTTAGCTAAAGCTACTGCAGTTGCTTCTCCCCAAATGTTCATTCATTTCCTGAAAACAAATCACTTTTCATGCCAGAAAATATCTTAAGATTACTTGTAATTAAAAAAATTCTACCCAGCTTTATTGTTGGAGAGCAGGAAGGGCACTAACTTGTGCCCACAGATACAGTATGTGCACCCTCAGGCAAGTTCATGGTTCTGGGCAAGCAGCCTCTGTTCTACTCTGCCTGCAGGATTCTGCAAATCCCAGCTGTGAACGTTGCTGCATAAGAAAAAGGGAAGCATATGATGGATACTTCTATTCTCTGTCAGTCTGGGGCTGGACATGGAGGGTTTGTCTTTGCAAGAACTACTGAAAACAAGTTAAGTGGTGTGTTGACTGATTAAAAATGACAAGTGTTTAGACAAGCAACATTAACCTCTGCAAATCCACACTTGTGGATGTCTATCCCCATCACACTTATCAGTTTAAGACCATTGAATTATAAATGAGATGCCTGATATAAGACAAATGAGTCTCAGAAATGCTACTCCAATATGTCAGCCCAGTTTCTGATTGACAAGTCAGAAAGTGTGTACAGCTACTGCTGTGGGATCTTCCACTTCCCAACTCCAAATGCACGGGACTACACAATAACAAAATCCTTACCCCATGAAGTTGCCTGTCTGTGAAATTGCTGCTGTATGATGTATTTAAACTGCAGGATGTGTTTGGGGATAAGCCATTAAGAACAAGAACAGAACAACTGTATTTCACTTTCCTAACTGAAATTCAATTCTATTAAATATGAAGCAATGTTCTAGGTAAGATATTTTTGAAAGGAATTTGTTCTACAAAGTTTAGGTAGTATTTCTGTACCAAACATTTAATTCAGCAAAGAACTGGTTACATCAAAAGTGATTGGATTTGAACAGAAAGTAAACAAAAATGCATATTCAAGATAGTTTAATATGTATTTTCTGAATTAGAAATATCACTTTCTTAAATGAATGAGAATTTCTAGTGTAATGATCCATTCCTCCCATCCCCCATCACTGAATTACATTATTTATACATATAATACAGAGCCCATTGCAGTTGGAAACAACAATATTAAAATAAATGTTTAATAGATACAAAGGATCTTTTCTCCACAACATAGTTTTTCTGGTGTCTGGACACCAATTTTAAAGTAATTCTCTATAAGCATTAAACTATTTAAGTGCAAAACAATTTTTTTTAAAAATCTATGATTGCAGCATCCATCTTCCTGAAAAACATTTTGAAGCCAGAAAGTAATGACTTTCATTTTCCATGAGTGCATTCCAGGCTGTCTTCTAGCCATCTCTGGTTAAAAAAATCAGTGCAAAATAAACAATGGTGAAGTACTAGTTTAACCATTGAACTTACTTGAATTTAAGAAACATATCTTATTTTACACTATATATATATATATATGTATATCTTTTATTTATATATTTATAGAGAGATTAAATTACACTGGACTTGAAAAGTATAAAGAAAACAAAAATGTTACTACTTTTTCCTGCAGTACTAAAGGAAGCTTTTTGCTTTTTCTCCAATGCAAACTCTTCCTTGGGTGAGCAGCCTAGCAGGATCAGCTGTAGTGAGAACTCCTTACATTTGTCCTTTGCAAGTCACTATGTGATTCACATAATTCCATGTTTACACTCTGCCACATTATAATTTGTGATGCTCTTTGCCTGAAGAACAGCTCCTGGTTCCACTGCCATTACTTCTTGTCCTGTGTTCAGAGATTTGCTAGCAGTAGTGTGATGGCTATACTACAGTTCCACTTGGAGAATTGGCCTGGTTTTGGGATGACAATAAACCCTGCAAACAAAGCAGTTTACATTAATCCAGCAAGAGAACCTGACATGAATTTTATAAAGTTCTTAACCTGAACCTACAATGAGTACAGTTGATTTTTACCAACACTTGCTTATTACTTCAGACATCAGCACCTTCTCTCCTACAAAGGCTCTAAGCCACCACGATCTCAGCCAAGCAGCGCACAAAGAGCTCTCAGACAGGAAGAAACACGTGCGTTTATAACACGGAATGGATCTGATCCCAGCATTTGGTTTAATCTACCTTGCACTTGGAGTCATAGTGAACTGTGAAACTTTAAAAATCATACACCAAAAAAGTGATCAGCATTTTACTGGGGTGGTGTCAAAACCTATTCCGTTATCAGTATGTTTGACACCTGACCTGATACAGGGAAACACTCCATCTCTTATGTGTGGTTGAGTATTACAAGGTTTGAATAGAAAAACAGATTGTCTAACCAAATATTTGTTTTGGTAATTTTAAAACAGAATGAAACCCTCACAAGAATTCAGTAGAGATTTCCTATTACAATTTAAGTTCACACTCAGGAAAACTTGGTACCAGCTCTTCTAACTACCCTGCCATTCAAATCAAGAGACTTATTTCACACACGGCCCCACGACTGCGCGGTGCCCCTCACTACACAGAGGCTGCTGCTCCGGGTTACAGATTAAACCCCTGCGTACCAATGGACAGACTCCATTTCAGACTTATGCATAGTAGCCACTTTTTAATAATTCACCTAAAAGTAACTTTATCAGGCTTACTTAGGAAAAGGATAGTGTCAAAATACAATTTAGCCTTATAAGGTCATTAGTTAGTTGTACTGAGTGCCAGCAGGCCAAGGAGCATGCTGGCAGCTGGAACTGGCAGCTGGAAGCACACCAGCAAGTATCCCCATGCAACTCCTCACCTGGTAGGTATGATAAATGCACTTTCAGCAACTCCTCTAAGCAGCTCCCAGCTTACATGTTCTTACCTCAAAATTAAGATCCTGGGACTCAGATCCATCAAACTAGACAAGATCAGGCAGCAATTAGCATACAGAAAAAGAGAGAATTATGTCACTTCTTCAGAATCTACAGGAGCTCTTTCAAACTTGGATCCAAGAACTGAGAGGTCATGATGATGGAAGTAAACCCTGACCTCAGAAGAGGTGGAAAGAGGGGAAAGAGGGCCAGACTGGATTCAAGTCATCAAATTCCTGTTAAAACCAAAGCCTTTCTTTTTAAAAGAACATCTAATAATTTCAAACATGTCAGGAATCTGGATAGTTTGTAGGATTTATGACAGACTGTATTTGCATATGGTCCATATAACATTTATATATAACAAACCACATGGAACTTAGCCTGGTGCCTTCCATAGACCTCACCTGATGGAACCTGAACGTCTTTATTTGTATTTGTTTATGCAGGGAATATCTGATTAAAACACTATTGAGGTAGACTGAAGTGGGTTGTTCTTTACATTTGACATTCAGGATGTGCAAAGATCTTGCATATTTCATGAGAACAAAAAGTTTCCTAGTTATTACTTAAGGACTAGATGGTGAAAGAAGGCAGAACTTTAGAACAAACAAGCCACTGAAGAACTTCTGAAATTTTTACCAGGGAAGTTTTGTTGCAAAGTGACAAGGTTGAATCAGAATTCACTAGTTCATTACTGAAGCATTCTTCACAAGTCTATTAAATCCAGCAGCAACTGGAAGGTCTTTCTTGTCAGAAGATTACATCCACTAAGCAACTTTGAAGTACCCTGGAAAAAGACGTCCAAAGGTATTATTCTCAGTTTTAATTAAATCAGCAATCCAAAGTGTTCATATGCAAATATGTGCTTTATAAGCACACAGGAAGCTCTAGGGATGGCATAATGTCAAGTCTTTTTCAACAGGCTCATAACCACCCTATACAGGAGAAATAAGTTCTATTATAGCATTGGATTTACACTGTAACACAACCAATTCTTGGGAAACAAAATGAAGTTCTTTTCCTAGGATTCCTCCAGAAACTGGCAGCACATACTGAAATTCAGTGTGGTGCCTCATTCCCCATGAACTATCAGCTATTCTAGAATGCAAGTTCCAAGACTAGGAACAAGGAGTCAGTCCTGGTTACATCTCATAGGTGGTGAATGCTCCCTGCTGTGAAGAGCAGCAGCTCAGTGCAGATGGCTTTCAGTGAGTACTAGGAATTCCTTCTATTTCAGTCCTTGCTCTGAATTAATTCTGCAACTCTGAGCAGGCAAGCCAGAGGAACACTGAAGTGGAAATAACCTCAAGACCAATATCCTTGTGCTTCTGCAGATGGAACAAATGTATGCAAGTACTGCCTTAAAACTTGGACTAGGCTATGATGCCATTCAGAAATTCGCTCCCAGGGGAGACACCAGAAAGTTATTGAGTTCTTCCAAGCACTTGATTTCGGAAGACATCTTAAATGTTCATACAAGAAAAGCAAGAGTTTGAATTTGGTTTTTAGGCACGTAAGTTTCACCAAGGGTGGTGAGTTCTCAGTGGGTCCTGATTAAAACAAAAATTCTACAGCATTTTGCCATTGTTTCAGAGCCTTCCAAGCAAGGCTATGAACCAGGTTGTGTTTGGTGATAGAGGAAAACAACCTAAGAAAAGCAAGTTAGGGCTCAAATAAAGTTACTGCTTTGATACAAAAGTTCACAGTAAATCTCATCTGTGATACAAAGAGTGCGGGATTGGAACAGTTGTAGTTACATTCTCTAGAAGAACACAATGGGTAAGGTAATGAAAAGATATAAAAAGCTCCTGCCTGTAAAGAAAGAAGAAAGCCATTAGAGTGTAGTGCTTTCTGTGATGGAACCACCCAGTCTGTCAGGTGGGAAAAGATGAAACAAAAGCTGCAGCAACTTATTAGAGCAACAGCCAAGTCAGCCTGTTTAACAAATGTGACAGGAAACAGGGAAGAGCAGAGCCACAACAGCTGCAGCTCTGCCGCGTGGTGCAGCAGCTTCGGGCTTAAGGACAAACAGACCCCACTGAGCAAGCAGCAGGAACAAATTAAGACACTGCTCAAAGTTTTGTAAATAAATGTAGTGTTTTATTAGCAGTAGTATTTTGTCAGCATATGAGTCTAGCAGGCGTGGGAAATGGAAGAGTTATGAGATCCAAGACAGGAATTTAGTAAAACAATATTCATCCCAACCTCAGAGAGGTAGCTGCTGTCATCTTAATGGGACACTCCACAGCTGAGCAATGCAGCTTTCAGAGGATGGGGTCATTTTTCCTAAGTCAGTCAGTGCTGTGAGTACTGAACACAGGCTGCTTCAGCTCTAGCTGCTAAGGCTATCTCCTGTTTATCCGCGCATTCTCTGACTTCCTGAAACACACAGGACTTTGCATATCTGGTAAAAATACGCCGGCATGGGGTGGAATGAAAAGCCATAACAAATACAATCAGGAAGGCCATTTGCACCCGAGGTTCGTGGCCCTCATTTGCTGGGGTCTGTTCGCTGCAGCAGCACAAACACAAACCCTCCTCCCCATGTATGGGATTGTGAGGAGACGGGTGGATAGATTTTTAAAAATTCCAGATACAATCCAAAGTCTGGGGTTTTTTTCTAATGACATGAAACACCATGTTTCACAAGAGAAACTAATTCTGTGAAAGATCAGCATGTAATTGCTGTATTAAAAAAAAACAAAACAAAACAAACAGGAAGGCATTGCAATATTAAATAGGAAAACAGTAAGCAGTAGCCACTGAATTAATATTTTCTTAATTTAAATTAGAAGATGTTTAATTGGAGCCAAAGGTGCAATCATACACAGTTTCACTAATCTAGATAATAAACAGCAAGTCTGGACATGCAAGCAGGATACAGAAAGTGCATGTCTCCTTCAGGGAAACAGCTCTGCTGGCACTCAGAACATGCTGGATGTCAAACTCTGCTCACCTTTTACTTTCTGGTTTGAAATTGAAAGTTAGAAAAAATAAAGGAAAGGGTCCAACATAACAAACAATCCAATGTAAAAAAAGAAGTCTCATAGTACACTTCACTAATGCAACTAAACCAATTAAAATATGGCTGAATTAACAAATGCCCATACAAGAATGGTACTGGTTTGTTAAACCATTTCTACTATTGCCAGTATGTAAAATAATGGGAAGTTGTTATTTGAAAAATACTGCAGGAGTAGTTTATTCTTGTCCAGAACTGTGATATTCCTGGAGTAATTAGGGTTACTAGGTAACTAGAGTTACAAAGTAATCTGGACTGAAGCTTTGCTTGAGAAAAGAGCCCATGGTCCATTAGAGTGTTTGAACAATAATACACCAAAACCAAAGTGAGGTTTCTCGTATTTGTTTAAAATTCTGTAGTTAAATTAGCTGAACTGGTTTTAAGACTTGCATGAACAAAATCTTCAAGTTCTTTGTCCAAAGAATAAGTCTTTAACAGCAAAAGTTTCTGAACTGCATATACTCACTAAATCACATATTAATCTAATGGAGTAATAAAATTAATTTAATAAAAATGCTCAGGAAAGCACATGCTGTTCATTCACATAACATGCTACAGAGAAGTATTTTCTATGGGATTTAGGGGGATACAGCAAAGCTGAACACAGTTTGTGTGTTCACTAAATGGGCTTTTAAATTTGTATTCCATTTGCCTTTTTTTCTCTGTTCTGATAACATTACACAAAAGTATAAATACATAAATCATTTGACACCAGACCTTAGAAAAGACTGTAGCACCTTTAGGGTTTCACTTGCAACTTCTCTTCTGTGTATATAAAGGAGTTTTTCTCTTAAGAGAGGTCACTGTCAACAAAAAAAACCAAATTCAAGGTTGGTAGAAAACCATCAGTAACTAAAAATCTGTCCAGTGGCACTAGGTGAATGGAAGATATGCAGGTCCAAGAGGGAAAAAAAAAAAGTAAGATGCACCTATTTGGGTGCTTGAAAATGCAAAAAGGCTTTTGCCAGCAGAAACCTGACCTGGGCTCAAAAAATAGGACCTTAAGCTTCATTCAAGCAGTAAGGGCTCACAGGCTTATAAACTGTTGTTCCTCTACTTTCCTCAAACTACAAAAGTCAGTAAGGTGTAAAATTTTCAGTTTAGAAAATAATGAAATTGAGATAAACCAGGGAAAACCTCAGGGAAAAGCATATGACTTAAGGCAACCCCATGTGAGTTAGCAGTAAAGCAACTGTGGTCTTAGCAGACGAAAGGAGGCAAATGAGTTCGATAAGGTTGAGCAGCACCTACCTAAAATCCAGCTTCAAAACCCAGAAAATAGCATTATCTTAAAAGTTATTTCCTTGAGAAGTTAGTGCAACATTATGAAAGGCAAGTAAAATGATACCTTCATGTTTCAAGACATATTTTGCCAAATACTTTCTCTGACCACAAAACCTGGGGAAGCTGGGTTTTGTTTCAGGCTCACACTGACTATTGAGAAACTGGTTTGACCAACCAGTTCTTGCATCATTTGATGTAACTGGATGTTCCAGAAGCGTTCAAGCAGATTTCATTTTTTCCTTCACTAGCCCCTGTTCTTAAATATGCATCTATGTTCTATGTACAGATCATCACAATGGTCAATCAATACCTTTGAAGTACCACAAAGTTCTCAAGTTTACATAAGATGATTGCCTCAGCTTTAGTCTACAGAGTACTTTTGCGTAAGAGACAAACAAGAGTCCTCCCTGTCAGACTAGACCCAAAGTAACTCACTTTTACACTGAAATTCCTCAAAAATGCCTCTGAAACACTTCAGTAAATAGCATTTGTTTGGCTTTTCTTTGTTAACAAAGAATCACTGCTGCAAAGGTGAGACAATGCCTAACCCCTCCAAAGGAAGGGCAACATCTGAAGTCTTCACCTAAATTTGCACCAAGAAATTTTGCAGTCAAAGTTTTAGACTAGTTTATTTTAGTTCAGATGAGTTTCATGCTAGACTATTTTTTCTAGACAGAAAATGCTTGAATCATCGGTATGAGCCATATCCTCGGGGCTGTAAGTTCAGCAGTCATTAGGTAAACACCAAGATCTAAAGCTGGAATAAAGAACATACCCTGCACCAGAGTCCACAGAGGAAAGAGCTCCTGTAGAGTCCTAGAAGGAATGACGACACTCTGCCCCAGCTCCTACCGGACAGGTGTGCAGAGAGAATCTAGATACAGCCATGTCTGTGTTCTGCTGAATCTGAGTTTAAACAAGTTTGAAAAGTGGTTTGGTAAGTATTCTGTTTAATGTTACTCTAGTCCTAAAAAACACAGCTACCTTGAGTCATGACCTTATCAGCAAGCTTTAAACATCAAAACATCTGCAAAGTCTTGAGACAAACTGAAACGTTTTCTCAGAGCAGATTACAGATGTGATCAACTTCTTACTTCAAAGCATGGCAAGTTAACAGTTTCATTGTGGCCATTTGTTCAGCACAGTGTGAGAGCACAAGACCACCTAAGCACTGCAAGATAAATTAAAACTCAAATGTGGAGAAGACTATTGAAAGTTATCTACATTTACAGTTCAATCACACATTTTTATTTAACATCAGTATACAGAGGACAACCCCAGCAAGTTATTTTGTAATGTCAAGTATTTAGTAAAGTTCTTCAGCTGTAACAGTGACAATAGAACAGCTAAAAATAAGCAGTATGAAACAAACATGATCTTCTTAAAATTATAAATATACCAACAATACTTCTTAAAGCTTAATTATTGCAACAGTTAAATTAACAATAGTTCATGTTAGAAAGGCTCTATGAAATTTATTCAAGTTGTCAAGAAATTAGATGGAAGTGTAAAAAGGAAATACATATGAATTTTACTTTTGATTTTCACTAAAGGTAGTCAATACAATTTTGTACAGTATCACCTAACATGTCAATCTTTAACAAACTCCAGTATACAGAATCATAAAATGCAGAAAAAATAGTTTAATCTTTACATGTAAATTGACAGTAAATTAACTGACACAAATTTTATTATTGTAACATAAGCAGGCCAGCATTTTAAATATTAATTTAGTAGTTTTATGTTGTTAAAGGGGCAGACATATACAGTCATTCCAAGTACATACTCAAATTTTAAGAGGTGATAATGCAGAACATGGGTTTTCTAGAAAGTGTTTAGTAAAAGTCATGTTATTTCCTAATCCAGACATCCTCATCATAAAGCCTTTACAGGGTTATGATCTCTCCTGGCTTTACTGGAGCCACTTGTCACACCTCCTCACACACGCACACACACATACCTTGCTATAAATATCACACCAGTGTACTCTAGGTTTAATTCACCCTGATAATGTGGGTATGCCATGTGCAACTTTGCTATTGTGCACATTACAGAAAGCTTCAAATTGTAGCATGGTAACCTGAAGTTGTATAGCTGTGTTTCAGTTTAACTATAATCATCCCTGAAGTTTATACAGATACCGTATCACGTTGAAAGAAATCTATTTGATAGTACTTAAATACCAGCAATTGAACTTCAATTGTAATGATGAAATGCTCCTTTCCACTGAGGAAGAATTAGTATGTATAGCTGCTCATCTCACTCAAATATAGTACATGAATGTTTAAGTACTTTCACTAAAACAGAAGTCATACTAAAACATGATACTGTACTACAATTGTAGTTAACTAGAAAATTCAAGGATGTTATAATTTAAGTCTACATTTTCCTGTACAATAAGTCAAATAAATAAATTCCATGTGCATTTGTTTTACAAAGTGGTAGGATGTTTCTCTTGCTAGGTTATACACTGCCATTTCACCTGGGGGTGCTTTTGGCCAATCTTACCTTGAGCTTTCTGACACAGGGAGCTCACCAGCAACTTTCACTCACATAAAATGGAGTTGCTGCACAGACAATGAACAGTCAGTTCTGAAGTCCAACACAGAAATCACCTAAGTAGTTACTCTAACCACTGAGTTCAGAGAAAACTTATTTTGCATATCCAAGTACCACTTTGGGGTTTTGTGGGTTGCTTTTGTTGGGGTTTTTTTAATTGCTTCAGCAGATCCTGTAATTCAGTTTGACGTAGCTATAAAGATAGCACAATAAAGTTTACTTTTGTTCCTTCCAAAATCTGTTTCTATATTTCCAGATTAATCCAACAGTTCTGTAATCCTGTTTAGGTTTCCCATCAGGGCCTGGGAAAGACAGGGGTGAGAGGCAACAGCTAATTGTCACCATGTTGAGAAGAAAAGCTCATACTCTTGTTAAGGCAACCTATTTTTCTGATCACCCTGAACCTTCTTTCACAGAAACCAGCTCACCAAAAAAAAAAAAAAAAAGAGCGAGAGAATAAAAATTGGAAACTAATGAACCCTGAGCCTCATCCAATTTGTTCCTAATTGAATTTTGCCATTCACTTCACTTCAATGACTGGGAGTTGGCAGAGCAGTTCTGGAAGTGCAATGCAAGAATGGTACATCCTGTGAGGAAGCTCAAGGTATGATTTGGTACACACCGAAGCAGTAATTTGGAAAGTTTATAAACAAACTGTCAGGACAATGTCAGCACTGTACAGACTATCAGCTATCACAGGGATCATGGCTGCAGAGACACTTCTGGATTTATTTTCCACTCAGGGCAGCACAAGCCCAACCAGAAAAATAAACAGAATTTCTCATACACTGTCAAATTATCCAGCGCATGTTTCGATGGCTGTTGGAAATGAGAGGGAGAGGTAGCACTGGCTCAATGGAAATTACATTAGACACTGCAAGCCTCCTTCCCTTTTCCATCCAATTCTTTCTTTAGGCTGGCAGTGGCATCAATTTAATGAAGGCCTTCTGAGGCAATGATGGAAGCAGCAGCAAGATTCAGAGGCTTTTACTCTACAGAGTTGGCAGACAAAAAAGTGACAGAGCTTTAGGATCACTTGGGGAGCCATATGTCAAAGGAAGACTAGAAATAGCAACTTTAAACCCCAGAGTAATGGGATATCCTAGGATAAAACAGCTGGTGAAACAGAAATGATTTCTGGTGAAACAGAAATGATGGTATATAACCCAGTAAGAAAGACATCACCATGAGTGTTTTATACTTTGACAATTCTCATTAAATAAAATTAAGTGCTTTCCTATAAACAAAAGATGCTCATAACGTCCTTCTGGCACAAGTATTTTCCTAACAAAGCCCTGTAAACATGCCACCAAAATTTAGTTTTTACCAGCAGAGTGAGCACACTAGAAATGCAAGTGAAATCAGAAAAACAAATTAATTTGTAAATTTCTAAGTAAATACATCCTAAAGAATATGGCATTTACATCAGTGTGCAATATATTAATTTTGAAAGTGATAACTTCAGCATGAAAATTACTTACCTGTAGTTAAAGTTTTCCATATTGGCCAATACATAAATCCTGATTTTTGGTACTGCATACTTTATCTCTGAAATATTTGAAATGTCATATTCCAAATCAAAGTCAATACACAAAAATATTTAAGTTATACTCAGTCTAACAAAACCCACCTCAGCCACTGAAAAATAAATGTGACATGTAGTGTTTAATAGTATTCAAAGGAGTTTTAGAACAAAAAGAAAATGTAGCTCACAATAGCAATCTGAGGCACTGCTGTAATTAATAAGATGTGAAGTGCACTGAGTCACAAAAGTATAATTGCTTTAATACTTTCATTTTGGGCAAACCTTTTAAATATTTTAGTGTTTTAAGGGAGTACTTTTTTTTTTTTTTTAATTAATGCTGGATTTGTAGTTCTCAGGCAAAAAAATACTTTTAGGTAACACCCTCCTCCCTTCTCCCATAAAGGGGTTTTCAATTTTAAGTTTTAGATTCAACCTTTAAGTATGCATTAAGATGCAGAACAGACACAGATTTTTACGCATACGTATGTTGTGACTAATTTGATAAGATCTCAAAAAAGCCTACATTATACAAACAATTTTAAGAAAAATGATTGAGTTTTACTTGCAAGTTTATAGTAATGAAGATGTGGTATCTAAATATATACAGTACCTCTACTTCAAAAGTCAGATTTATGAACCAAATGGTTAAAATCTAACAAACAACAGATTTTCATTTAAGTTGCTCAACATGGCATTACTCAGGTATTACCAGATCATTTCTCTTACTTCAGGTGATAATCTAAATCCCCTTTCAGAAATTTTCAAAAAATAATGGTTCTTTTTCTCAGACCAACTCTGGAAATGTTTTCATAGCTGTATTCCTTTGAACTGTTGCTGGCAAGCAGAGCTATTGTAGCACAAAGTACTTTTTAATGTAAGAATCACCACATTTAGCTTCAGTCAAAATTTAGCTATTTATACATTGGACAGAAGAAAAATAAAATATTGTAGGTGTTCAAGTGCATCAACAACAAGAGTGAAAACTAGTAACAGACTAATGTAGGTTCAGCTGATGGAACAGGTGCCATCAAAAACACAAGCTTGTAGTGGTTGAACTGCCTTAACAAACCTGACAGGAACAGAACACTGAAACCACTGAGAGAAAGCTTGCAGAATTTTCCCTAACTTAAATACATAAATCAAAACCTGGCTATAATTAGAGTTCTTTGTTAATACTGATTCACAATTTAAGAGCATACACTACAGTCAGTACAGGGCTCACAAATCTGTGCATAAAATGGCTGATGTTTTAATAAGAAGTGGTTTCACATTAATGGCAGGCCACCACAGAAAAGAATGGAGGAATTAAACACTTTGGTTTTCACTTTTCAGAGGCTCACATTTCTCATTAGACTTAGAAGCAGCAGCTTTTCATAAGCTACTCTCATTGGGAGCGCTTATTTTTTAGAAAACATTAGAAGGATTATGATTATTTTAGTGTTTGACAGGTTTTACTTCAATTTTTACATAAATAGCTTTCACCATATTGTGGTTATGCTTAAGTATAAGAACACTGATCAATAGTTTAGATGCACAGTATTTATTTCTTCTGCTGGAAGGCAACTATATTTAATAATTGTATCCAAGACACTTCAAATCATTCAGAAATATGGCATGCAGTATCCAAAAGTATGGCTCTGAGGATATTTTTTTACATTAAGCATAAAGAAATTTTATATTCAACATTCATTATATTTCAAGAAAACTATCTATTCAGAGTTCTAGCTCTTTGATGCAGCATTAAGGATTAAAACTTACCACTTTACCAGGCCTTGCCCATGTGCAAATAAATCCCTCCTGACAAGCAGTGACTATACAGTCTTCAAGAAAAATTAACACAGTCAGTCTTTCATGTGCTATCTTTTTACAGATAAGAGGCTCTAACAAGGGAACATCTTCCATTCGGGGACAGAGAGGTGTTCCCAAAGTTTTAGCTGGGTCCGTTTTGGTTTTAGTAACTAGGTTCAGTTTGTCACTGCTCTTGCTAGATATATGTCCCATGCTATGGTTTCTCTTGTGATCTTTCTCATGGTGTCTTTCCTTCCGATCGTGCAGCGATAAGGTTGCAAATTTACTAACGCCAGAAGCAATGGCACCATCCATGACACTGCTTTTACTGCCAGCATTTGAGACTGCAGAGTGTGGAAGGCTGTTTGACCGTGGAAGAGGAGGGGGTACAGAGTTTCCAGGTGTTGTGATACTGTTTCCATTACTTCCTGGGTTAGTTCCACCACTTCCTGCAGGTGGACTTGTGGCATTCATGACATTTGTATGTGTCCTTGCTCTTGAGAGAGGTTGGTGGGGGAAGAGGATATCTTCTGTAAGATCCCACAAACAGAGCTGCGTGTCCTGGCCTACTGAACCAAATCTATACGTAACACTTACTGGACGACTGTCTGTAGAGTTCCTTTTGGATAGTCTAGATTGCGTGCTATTTGCTCGATCTCTGCCAAAATGAAGGTCTTGGAAATCCTCATCGCTTCCGCTAAATTCCATCGGGTCACTCTCTTCTACACTAGTGGTATATGGATCAAACGCAACGACACTGACCCACGATTTATGTCCGTGGCCTCTTGCTATGACTCGACAGTCCACGAAAGACCAAACTGTCACCAAGTCATCCTCTCCGCCTGTCACTATGTATTTCCCATCGGGGCTCCAACACACACACAGCAGTCCTCCAAAGTAGCTTTTCATTGTACCATGCAATTCCACCGAATCAAAGTTAAACACGCGAAGAAAACCATCCTGGCTCACACAGGCCAAGAACTTCCCATCAGGGGAAAAGGCAAATTCGTTCAGGGCACCCTCACCTACTGTCCATTTAAGCAGAGGGTTTCTTGTGGATTTGCTCTTGCAAGTATGCACTGCAAAACTCTCCCCTTGTTTAAGTAGCTGGTAGTGCGGGGCTGTGGTACCACAAGTGTGCTCCACGTTATACAAGTACATATTGCCACTGGAATGAGCTACTAGGAAAAGGCTTTCCGAACCTGGTACCCATTTTACACAGGTTACTCGGGACTTGTCTATTAGTCTCTGTGAAAAACAAAGAAGATACACATCAGAAACTGAAAATTAAAGTTTTCATGATTAACTGTAAATCTGAGCTTTCTGGGGGATGAGGAGCAATACTTAAATAAAGTGAACTTAACTTTCTAGACAGGAACTATGTTAGTTACTGTATTTGCTAAAACTTATCAGGCAGTAAAGAAGAAATTATTTTCAGACTAAGTGCTTTCAAAGGTTATTATTATGGTCCAGTCACATTCCACAAAGACCGTACTTCAGTCAAGCCAATCTGATATGAATCTAAAGGCAGTGCTCTTTGGTTTACTTTTCCCTGTGTAGGTTGAAGAGCATGAGAAGGTAACAAGAAAACATTGAATAAACTAAAGGGAAAAAAAGCACTTACTCATCTATACTATACAGCAAACAGGTTACAAATCAACAACAGTAAATTCAGGCTCTGATTTTATCTGAAATCACAAATAAAACCCAACCTCTGAAAAAAAACCTACCATCTTTTACTGATTCAGGGAGCAAAGGCTGCATACACAGTGACCCTGTTATCATGTGGCTGCAAAGTCAGTAGGTAAATGCACGTGGCAGGGTGAATTCACAGGGCACCGCAAACTTTCACCTTGGAATCCCCAACCTCCAATTATTTTTCTTTCAATAGCCAAGGACCTGTCAATACCCTGTTACCATTTGATTAAGCACTTTCTTTAAAACAAAATGTTTTACTGGAGTTCATCATTGCAAAAGAATGCACCCACATTAAACAAACATTCCTGATCATAGGATCTTCAGTACTCTAAGAACTGAAGGTAAAGTTTGACTCCTTTGACTACTGTAGTTCTGGTGGACTTCCACAACTTACCATGTTGTCCATAGCACCACTCAGCTGTAACTTGCAGAAAAGTAATTCTTTACAAGCACATTCAAGATTTGTATTTGGCATATTGATTGTAAGGAGAAAGAAGAGCTGAGCTACACAAAAGGCAAGAGTGCAAATGTAAAGAGCCTAAGGAATACCAGAACAAGTTCCAAAAGCCCTAAAAACAAAGAAGAATCCCCCCCACACACACCTTGCTCTGCTGTTTATCACACACAAAAACATCAAATTAATGGATAATACATCAACTGTTATCTATTGCGGAACTGTACTGGAAAGCAGCACCTGGCCATTTTAGATTACACTTCTGCTGCTGTCAATCTCAGTACAAAACCAGAAGGTCTCTCCCCTGTAATTTCTCATTGGTTAAAACAGCCATGGTATATTTGAGATCTGAGAGATGTAACTAAATATGGCAAAGTTCCTTCAAATGGAGTAGCTTTAAAATGACAGAGTCTATAATTGTGCTGTCATATAGTCTGCAATTCTGTTGGGATATTTCAACTAGTTTGTTGTATATTCACTGATATATATCGTGCATATCTCAGTAATGATGGCATCAGAAACATTAGGGAGAAAGTTACCTGGCACACACTAGGAGAACAAGGGCAGGGAACACCAGCCCAGCTGGCTTCCTGTAGGCACCAGTCTTCTCATTGCCAACATAGCAACAAAAGCACAATTTCTTGCTCTCCACTAAAGCAGCTCAATCTGACATACAACCTTTACTCATAAGAGCACCTGCTCAACTTTTATATTAGAAATGGCACTTTATGTCCTACATGATCCTAAATACTGCAGAGAAACTCTGCAAACCCAATCTTTACTTCAAGGAGGCAGCGAAAAACAGAAGATTACAATTTGCAATGAGAACAGATCAGCTCAGGGAGACAAGATGCAGAGAGACTTTAATCTGACATGTACACGTGACTACAACACATCCCCTTCTCAAGATACAAACTCTGAAGTTGTGACTTCTGTGAGTTTTAAAAGCTTTCAGCTGGGTTCACAAAGTTCTGCAGCACAACAAAGCCAGACCTGCAGCCAGTAGGAACAGCAGATCATTACAAGAATGGTCTGAATGCAGTATCAGCACATCAGTGAGGGATGTGAGATAAAGAGCTGATGTTCAGTTTGATGGAAGAATAGAAGTGAAGAAGCTTCACTCACCAGGCAGAAACACTGGCCAAGATTATCTTGGTCGTGTTTTGAAGAACTTGAAGGGACAAAATTACAGGCACAGGCCACAACTGACTGAAAAATCTGAGGCAGTCAAAGAATATGCATTAAGGTCTTACACAGCTTTGGCAACAAAGATACAGGACAAGTTTATTAGGAAAAAAAAATGCAGCTCAAGGCTTCAGTTTAAATTAAAAAAGGATTAAAAAGTAAGATGAAAAAGCACTGGCTAATTTGATAATAACCAATTACCACCTGGAAGCAACTGAATCTGTGAGGTGTATTAGACTGGTTTGGGCAGTAAGAAAATATCAGTGGTTTAATTTTGACACAACTGGGAGGAATACCACTGTGACTACAGATGGATTTATGTAGGCAGCCACAAGCTGCACAGTATCTATCACCCACCTCAGCCTTTCAAGTCCCTATCATCCTCTACATCAACACAATTTTTAAAAAAATTAATAACAAGTTAAGACTATGCTAGAGCTATTGCATTTTATGTTCAACATAACCTATCATAACAGGTTGAATTATTTCATGGATCATATATATTCTGATTGCTCTACCACAGCTGATAGTCAAAGCAGAGCTCTGGGCTACCTGAAGCACCAAATCACTCACAGGACAGGTGATGAATTCTGTTGCCTCCAGCATGAGTGCTGGATCTGTAGAACAACGTCACCACTCATTCAGACCACCTTATGCCTACAGTTATTCCTAAAGACTATCTAAACTCAAAATATATTCCAAATCCAATAGGCACCTTCATCTTGAAGCAAATGAACTGCTTCAAACATCAGTGCTCACTAATGTTTCTCTGAAAGGGGCTTTAAATACAAGCCAGAACTTACAAACATCTAGGGCAAACTTCAATACTGTAATTGACAGAATAAAAATATATTTCAGTTTTAGTGTTGGTTGTAACTGCAGATAAGGTCAGTACAGGAAACAAGAATTTGTCATTTAATTGTAGCTTACTGTGTGTGGTTTTGGTAGCACTGAGCAAATCCTTACATTAGCTTGGTAGAAGAGAGGTCACCTCATTTAAGTTTCCACCAAACTGTCAAAGGCCACATTTCCATCACACTGAAGTAATCTGACAATAGCACAGACAAAAAGCAATACTGGCTGATGGAAATGGCTTCAGTGCTTCCAGCATTTGGGGAATACCACAGGAACTATTCAGCCTGCAGCACAGCTCTGCACTGTAGTCACCAGACAGTAAACACCATCAAGGCCTGGAAATGTGCACTGGGCCTTGATATAAGTATTCCACCAGAAGTTTTTCTCAAAGGAACTATAGCTCAGCTACAGGAGCGGGAACTACTCTGTGATATGAAACCAGCTGTTTAGAGTATGTCTGCTACACTTCTTAATACTTACAATATTATTGTACAAGAACAAATAACACACTTTTGGGGGGGATAGGTGGGGGGATGGTAGGACAATGCTAAAATTAACATTTCAACTACTTACACAGAGGTTTTTACCAACAGACAAAAGATTCATTAAAAGATTCTCCAGCACTATTGCCCACTCAACACAAGCAGAGACAGAGCAGTTGGGACAAGGCCAGGTAGGAAGAAAAACGCCCCTCTTCTGATCTACATTTGCTACTTTTAGAAAGCTGAGGAGGAATTAGATCTAATTATAAAACATCCCCAGTGAGAACAATACTTCAATCTTCTTTGCTCAAGGAAGGAGGAAGGCAACACGTCTCTGAGGCGGGAAAGGTATACTTTGAAAGCTGAGCAAGGCTTAACTTCAACTGTAAAGTTGTAATCCAGATGTGAAATTTCAAAAAAGGAAAGAAGAACAAACAAACAAAACCAACCAAGAGACCTGCAAATCTCTCTACAGAACTGAATTCAAACAAAAAAGGAGCAGAAGAACAATCCCGAAAAGCAAGTCACCTCCCCCAAACCACCCAAATTCCCAGAGCTCATCCTCTGCAGAAAATGCTGTCACAAGTCATCCCAGTTACCGGATTTCTTTCCTTGTTAGCATCTGGACACTTACTCCTCTAAGAATGTCAATGATGCCAGATACTCAGAGCCAGTGGTCCTGTAACTTGGCATTAGTGTCCCCCATAGTACTCCTTCTACCTTTCCTTATTGCATAGCAGCAGAAAAAGCAGATGGAGAGTTTCCTTCTGAACATCACATGGCCAAGACATCACAAACCCTCAGCATTTCTGTGCACTCAGCTTTGTAACATTTTTATCCAAGCAAGCCTTTAGGAATACAGGCAGTTTCTGCTGTAATGCTCCAACCATAAAAATGTGTATTTTTAACTTATTTAATATTTTGACTATAAAACAGGAGTTAAATAGCAGCTTAAAATGTTCTTCTTCAATGGCAATCAGAAGCCTCAGAAACAACTGAATTCAGAGCACATACAGCAGCATTTAGATTTGTAGACCTTATTTCCATCTGTAAACTGTCCTCAACTCTAGTTACAGCATTACCCAAACTAGAAAATCCTGATTTTTAATCTTTAACCACACAAGATGCCTTTATCTTGTCACAATGAATAACATTTTTATGTAAGTACTCCAAGCCAATGGAACAGCTGAAAAACAAAGGCAGTGACTGAACAATAAGCTATACAGGCAAATGGAGCCACATCTACTGAACTTAGAAAACCTAGGAACTTCAATAGCACAGATACATGCATGCAACAATATTAAGATTTCTACTTACTTCCTCATTAAATAATTTGCTAGTTTCTTTTTTAATAGGGTCTATAAGTTGGACCTGGCCTGCAGAGAAGCCCACTAGAAGAGACACACTTTCTGCTGTGGCTGTTAAATGATTGAAGTCGTGGCATGTAGGCTGTGTTCCTTTGTATATCCTTTTGTCTATTGGTTTACTCAAGTCCGCAGCCTGCAAAGAGAGCAAACAGAATTCAGACAGTTTATCACAATATGTGCACATAACCACATCTGTTTGAAAACAATGTTCATACCACACAACAATTTATGCAGTCACAAAACCCTACTTTAAAAAGCAGCTCTGCATTTATGAGACATCCAAGATCTTATCAAAATGTTTCTCTCTTTATATTAAGCAAGTGTGCAAATTACACCTGCCCTTGCCTTTGCACCTACTGCACGTGACAAACCAATGACAACCACACACAAAAGCTCCTGTGAGTCCTCAAGATACCAGAAGGCTTCTCCTGCCACAGGAGCCATCACAGAGACAAGGAATCTTCTACTTTACTAGTAGCACTTTCCCAGTATTGAGTACAACCAATTTAGCATTAAAAATACCATATTCTCAATCACACAACTCTTTGAACTGTAAGTCTATCCTTTAACAGGCAAACAAATTATATTGTTCTCCATAATCACAAAAAATTATCAACCAGCTCCAAAGAAAGCATTTTCTAAGAACAGTGATTCAAGATACTGATACTGCGATTATAAAATACATTTTACACCACTGAGCTACAAAGTAATTTGCTTCTGAAAACAAAACTCAAATATAGCTCAGACAAAATAAGTGCTAACAAAACTGAGGAATTTCAATATAAACAAATTAAGATCTAGCACTAAGTGTCAGAAGAATCAAAAGGAACAGAAAAGCAATTTAAAATGCTCCCTCACTTGTGTCACCCATGTTTATCCCCATATCACTTCTGTACAGACAACTAAATCTTTCATCATCCAGAGATTAAACCCCACACATTTAATATGCAAGATCATCCATCAGGTTCAACCTTGTTTTTTAACCTTCCTATTTACTAGGTTCAGAGTCTGTAATTAGAATGCTGCAGATACTCAAACAATATTACAGGCCTCAGATGTAGCTGTGATTTGGGGCTCGGATTCTAATTCTGATATATACTTTTTCAGCATATCTACTCAGAGGAAATCGGGCCAGCAATGAAAGAGAAAGTAGACAAGCTTCACATAAAATTGAATTGCTCCAGAGCATTAAATCTTGGAGGACAAGGACTGAAGAGCAGCAGATCTTTGGTATTCATAGAGCTACACAGAGAGAAACTAGACCTGTCAGTAGGGAAAAATCCTAACCAGCTACACAGGTGAGCCATTTCCAAGGCAAATTTAACTACAGGATATGCATGACAAGCATTTATGCACAATATTAAAGCTGCACTTATGTTTTGCAGCACATATTATAAACCAGTTTAATCAGGTGTACAGTCTCCTAGTTAAAAACTCCAAAATGAGATGATGTATTACAATTTCTAAAGTCAGCAGACTAAAAAGTTATTCCCCTGAGTCCAGAGATCCATTTTAATCTAAAAGAGAATATTACCAATACCTCTTCAAGGAGAAATTAAATAGAATACTAGTTCAACTGGGAGGTGGAAAGATAATGTGCATGCCTGCCACAGAGCATTCACCAGCTCACAGGCTGATGTAAAGTTGAAGTTGAAAGATCAAATCCTAAAGGCCTTGCAATTAGACTGTAACATTCCCTTGTCCTGTATCACTATAAACAAGTGAGGGCAAGAGAGAACTCAGAATTGGGGTAGCATTTCTATCTGGAAGAGCAAGCTACACAACCACATAGCCATACCTCAAATAAAGCAGAATTAAAGCAAACCTACGAGACTCAAAGTTCTCTGGACAGAAGTTGCAGCAGGACTCAATGCCTAAGAACAAAGATCCATTCTAAAGTAAATACAACTTGGCCTGAATCATACTGAATGACCATAGCACCACAGACTGTCCCAGCCAGCAGAGGATACAGGCATTACCACCTTCTTCTGAATCCTCATTGTCCCTTTAAGCAGCAAAGAATCAATAAATAGGTGGCTATGTTCAGACTAACCCCTGCTCTTTTGTCTGGGTGAGGTTTTACATCACTAGCTTTTGTTTTTCTTGTCCAACAACTTTGGCATGACAAGTTCCCTATCTCATGAAATTCTGTGGTAACAGACCTAGCAACACATGAAATTCTGATAAACTGAATCTAAGCACAGACTTCACTGTGCTTATTCTAGCTGTTCTCTGGGAACCAGATGGCAGTGAGAATCTGTCTGAACTTAAATGAAGTATAAATAAACCAATTCAACCCAGAATTAACCAGGCTTCTACTGACAGGAATGCCCCGCCTTTTATTTACATGCAGCTACTGCTTTCAGTTACAGCACAGTTGTCTCAGGGAGATAAGTCAAATCCACAAGCACTAAAGCTCTGCTTTGGTCTAGATCTCTCTTAACTGAAAGAGAGAAGAATCAATGGGCACAGCAGCTAGGAGACATTTTATTTCTGCATGAAGGTTGCTATTGGATTTTGCTAAGAACAAGAAAAGTGCTTACTCATAAAATCACGCATGGGACTCTGTTTCATCAGCTCACTACTAAACCCATTTGCTATTTTGTGAAAGACATGATTCTCAGAGAAAAGCTTTTACATCTTGTCTGTAAAAAACCGTCAAATCCTAGGATCTGACACTCTTTACAGAACAAGGTGATATAAACTGTCCCCCACTTAGAAATGGTGATGTACTTTCAAAAAACCCCAAAGAATCTTGGGATTAAGTACTGCCAGGCATGGAGATTAAAAGCACAGGAGCAGACACCCTCACCACAGCAGCTGGCAGCAAGCTATTTGCACACATTCCTATCCCAATGCTTTTAAAATTTTCTTCTGAAAAACACTCAGCACGATTCCAGCCTGTCCACTCTGAGAAACTTCCTCAACTGTGGATGATTCACGATGAGAGTAACACTTTCAGTAATCACAACTGAAAGCAGAACAGGGCAGCTGATGCAAGGCAAGGAATATCAAGACCATCCTTACATGTTCAAGCCTTGAAGTACATCTCAGCTAATCGAGGCTCTGGGACTGGCACCTTGGCCAACTGATCCCTGTGTTGGAAGTCTGTTCCTTCCAACATACAGAGCTACTGTACCCCCTGGGCAAAGAGACAAGGAATAACAGGAACCTCACACACCTGTATAAAGCCAGTGACACAGCTGAACAAAACTGCTGTACCTTGGGCATCAACAGCTTCCAAGTCCTGTCTCTGAGGAGATTTAAACTCTACCTTGAGAGAACCTCACACTTGCTCACAGAAGAAAAATTGAGCTTAGGTTTGTGTGATGAATTATTACTCTAGAAACAAAATATGAGCCATGTAACTGTTTGAGGAACTTCCTATTCTGATTTAATTAACTCTCACAGCACACTTTTAACAAAACTACTCCCACTCTGCTGGAGAGGGAAGGAGGGGGGAAAAAAAAATCTAACAGTCTAACAGTAGCCCATTCACCCTGGACTCATGACTTCCAGTAGAAGGGCAGTCAAATGGAACATATTAATCACAGCTTTAACTACATAAACACAAAATAAAAAAAAATGGCAGAAAAAGAACCACAACAAAAAACAGTTACCTTAGTCTGAAGCAAATTTTAAGTATTCATATTCTGATGTCTGAAATGTCTGATTAGGATAGGCATCAATAACCTTGGTTCTGTAGCTGTGTGTAATTCTAAGGTCAAAGCCAAAGATTAATATCTATCCAAGATTTATTTTATTGATCCAAGACTTAGAGCTTTCATAATAAGATTGCCTAAACAGTGAATCACATTACTTTAAGTCAGTGTTTAATCACACTCCTTGACAGATGTTATTTCTTCCTGTATCTTTTCCTAACTTACATTTGCAGCTTTCTGCAAATTTTACTTGAATGAAATGTGTCACACATTACAATTCTTTCCAAGCTGAAAACATTGCCAAGATATTAAATTAATTACTTTATTAATTTATTCCAGGTAATTTCAATTGTATTCATGAAAAGGCTTCCATTAGATACTTAATAGCATTTAATATTACATTTGCCAGGACACTGGCTTTCAATGGGTCATAGCTGTAAGTGAGATTGAGACAAAATAGTGAAGCGTTTAATAAAAATTTTACTGCAAAAAAATCCTCTTAAGAAAATCTCTCTTGTCCAGAGAATTAATTGATCTTGAACAGCAGATTACAGATTGGCTATGTATGTACAGCTCTAGTGCACAGCAAAAGAGAAGACACACAAGAACCAAGACAATGATGTACTTTTGAAAACAATTTCCTCAGTATTTCTGGAGCTTGGAATTTGTAACTGACTACCTGTAACTTGCTATCTCTTCCACATCTTGCTCTCCAGGGATTTAATGGTCCTTGGTCTAGAAACAGAATGATTTGAGAAAGCTGTGCCTAATGTGCTTAATGCTTATGTTATAATGCTGTACAGGTAACAGAAGAAATCAACTCTTAGAAGTATTACTAAGTGAGTTTCTTTGAACTTCACAGATGCTCTTTAAAATCTGGCTGAAAAAAAGAGGCAAGGCAACCCCTGCTGGAGCTCTCTGTTTTACACAATCTCCTGTGAATAGGACAGAACCCTCCCTGACTTGCTCACTGCATTAGCAAGGACAGGGAAAACTAAACTTGTTTATTCTTCCTCCATGTCTGCGCTGGTCTCCTTCTCCCTCCTGCAGACATGCCGAAAGGCAGAGACCGCTGAGGAACACAAGAAAGCAGAGCTACCCCAGGCACTTCTGTAGAATTTTCTGGCCAACTCCATTCCTTGTTTCTGTACAAGATTCTGACAGAAATACCAGCATCAATACTTCACACTCTACTTTATTAACACAGGAGTGGACTTCCAGATTTTTTTGGTTTTATAGCCCAAATACAGATCACATTAGCAACAGAATAATTTGTAGTTACATCACTGTTGTTTCAAGCTGATCTGATCTCACAGCTGACCCTGCTTGGGGCAGGTTAGACTGGGGGCTCTCAGAGGTTCCTTCCCACCTGAATAGCCCTGGAATCCTAAGCTTAGGATCAACCAAAGCAGCAGCAACAGGGCCACTCCCAGATTACTTAACAGGTCTGGTTTGCATCATAAAGGAAATT